TGCCCGAGTCCTTGGACGACGCGTCGACGGCCTTGTACTCGTAGGCGTCGTCGGGCAGGATGCCGCCGCACGACTCCGCGTACTGGAACGCGCGGTACGTGTAGCCGCCCGCGCAGCCGTGGTCGACCGTGTCGCAGGCGACGAACTGCTGCGTGGACAAGGAAGACAGGTCCACGGCGCCGTCGCTGAGGAACTTCGTGCCCTCGATGTCGCCGGCCGCCGCGAAGGCCCAGTGCGACGCGCAGTCGCCCGTGTCTTTCACGGACGTCACCGCGGACTTGGACACGTTCTTCGCCACGAGCGCGCGCCAGTCGAAGGCCGACGGCATGGTCTTGATGGTCCAGTTGTTGAACTGGACGATCTGGCCCGGCGAGAACTGGTGGACCGGGTCGTCGGGGTCCATGCCGCCCGGCTGGCCGCACGCGACGCAGTCGTCCTCCGTGATCCAGTCCACGCGGCCCTTGGCGTCCTTGTTGTCGTTGTGGTAGGCCGCGTCCTTCATCAGCGCCTGCACCGCCGCGGGGCCCTGCTTCGCCGCCTGGACGACCTGGTCCGGCAAACCGTCCTGCATCTCGGACCACGCGCTGTTGCCCGACCGGCGGACCGCGCGCTCGTCCTCGCTCTTGTCGGCGAACTTGGTGATGCCGAAGAGGGCGTGGGGGTGGACCTTGTTGAGCTTGTCGATCATGCCCAGGTTCTTCTTGAAGTAGGTGAAGCGCTCGGACGTCTCGTCGGGGCTGCTGTAGGTCGTCGAGAAGTCCTCCTGGAACTTACTGAAGAGCGCGGCGACGTCGTCGTCGCCGAGGTCGCCGTAGACGACGGCCTTCTTGTCCGTCATGTTCCACGTCGATTGGACCTTGTGGGCGTGCACCTTGACGGGGCTCGGCGTGTCGCTGTTGTCGTCGGGCCGCTCGCCGGCTAAGGCCGCGAGCTGGGTGCCCGCGCTCGACACGGCCTCGCCCAGCGAGCCGAACTGCGACCGGTAGCCGAGCACGGCGACGGCGGCGACGGAGAGGCCCGCGAGGGCCGCCCGGCGCAGGGCCACCTTCTTGGGGGGCGCCATAGCTGCCCAAGATGTGCGGCCTCGAACTGCGGCAGCATCCGGATACTACACGATGCGGATCGGCCAGGAATACTTCACTACCTTTGTCGATTTCAAGAGCCATTGCGGCAAGACGCACGCCGCAGCTCGTCTCGCAGCGTCGCATCTGTCTCGTCGCTGCGGAGCAGGTACCGCTCGCTCTCGCGCTCGCCACGTATCCCAGCATCAGTGCCCGCGCCGCGCCTCCCCGGCCGTCAGCGTGGCCCGCCGGCGCGAGACGACGTTTTTCTGCTGCGGCGACGCGAAGCGGGACGCCCTGCGCGACCAGCGGAGCAGCTCGCCGTCCATGGCGGCGCTCGGCGGCGCCGGCGGCACGCCGCCGCTCAACGTGCAGCGCAAGGTCGCCGTGCTCGGCTATAGGGCCGTGGGCAAGACGTCGCTCGCGACGCACTTCGTCAAGGGCCGGTTCGTCGACGAGTACGACCCGACCATCGAGAACACCTTCGCGAAGAAGATTCGCTTCAAGCGCGCCCACTTCGCCACGGAGATCATCGACGCCGCGGGCATGGACGAGTACTCGCGGCTCTCGCGGAACGCGTCCGTCGGCGTCCACGGCTATCTGCTGGTCTACTCGTCGACGTCGCGGTCGAGCTTCGAGAAGATCCGCTTCATCAACGACGCCGTGCTCCGCGTCCAGGGCCAGTCGCCGGGCGTCGTGCGCGTCCTCGTCGCGACCATGGCGGACCTGCGGGGCCAGCGGCAGGTCGAGGCGGACGAGGGCCGCGCGCTCGCGGACCGCATGCACATCCCCTTCGTCGAGTGCTCGGCGAAGGAGAACTTGAACGTCGCCGAGGTCTTCACGACGCTCATCAAGGAGATCGAGAAGGACACGGGCTTCCTCGACGACCAGGCCCAGCCGGGGTGCGCGATCCTGTAAAAGCGGGGGTTCAAAGACTAGCCGTTACGGGGCCGCACGCGCCCCCGCACGGGCGACTTGGCGTCGCCCAGCGGGGCGCGCACGCGCGGCAGCGCGCCGTCGGACGCGGACGCGGAGCGGATCATGGTCTCGGAGAAGCGCACCTGGCGGTCGCCGGCCTGGTCCCGCTTCTTCGGCGACGCGGCCGTCCAGTCGAGGAGCTCGGGCAGCTCCTCGAGGAGCTTCCACGCGTCGTCGGGCGTCACGCCCGCGGCGTAGACGAGGCACTTGCGGTGCGTCTCCTTCGCCACGATGGCGCGCCGGTACTCCGCGAAGGTCGACGGCCCGCGCTGCGCGCCGGCCGCGTCCTGCCAGTGGAACTCCGCGTCGCGGATCGCGTGGGGCACGCGCGGCGCCGGGTTCCGCGGCCGCCGCTTCCGCGGCGCCTTCGCGGGCAGGTACGTGATGTTCGCGTTCTCGTCGCCGCGGGCCCGCGCGGGCCTCGGGTTCCGGGCTCTCTTCGGCGGCGGCGCGCGCCGCTTGGGCCCGTCGCCGTCGATGGGCGGCAGGCCCTTCCTGCCGTAGGCGCTCACGACGCGCTCCGCGACGGCGGGCTCCGCCCGGCGCCGCGGCACCTTGGGCGCGCCGCAGCGCTTGCAGTAGCGGCCGCCGGGCTCGGTCGCGCCGCAGCGGCAGCGGTAGCTGTGCGCGCGGAGCTCCGCGGCGCGGCGCCGGCCGAGGACGCCGCGCCAGATCCGCTGGGCCAGGCGCGCGAGCCGCGTCGCGTCGCGCCGCCGCTTCCG